CCATGAACAGGTCCCCCTTGTGGATGGGGCGGTACGCCTCCAGGAAGTAGGGCTTCAGGTATACCTGCAGTACAGGGTTAACTTGGTTACCTGCTCTGGCAGTGCTTACATTTCAACAAATAATAACAAATACAGAAATCAAAACTTCTCACAACCCATAATATTAAACAAGGGTCTTTTGCCAACAGTACAAAATTTTCTTGTGATTGATATGATACATGTGATAAAAAACAAAATGTACTGGTATTCATTTAACATATATGAAATAGATGTAATAATATTGCAATAAATAATATATAATAATATATATAACATTATATAACGATGTACAAGAGGAATACAAGTGTATTACTGTGTACACAATGGACAAGCATCACAAATCAATAATAAAGAAAGTGCAGACCTCAAAAATGTTGCCAGAGAGTCCCTCAATGGTGTCATCAATGGGCAACACGTGGATGCGCTTGCCATACTTGACGTCAGGGCACGGCTGCACCGACACCACGTCACCCAGCCTCACCCGCAGGTTGTTGCGCACCTGCCATCATTTAGATGATCAGTCATTTACATTGAATATATTTAGGATAGTTTATATTCAAGTCAGCCAGCCACGCTAGCAGGTTGTGCATCAGCAAAAGTCCCACAGCTATTCCCAACAATCTTCTCTTAAACCACAAATGTTCACAACCTTCATACTCGGACCATTCACTACTCTAGTTTATCACACATCTAGCATTAACATAGGAGAATATCATTTATTGCTTGTTTTAACACTCACAACACTCACACTTCCATAATTACAGCACACATAATATAAAACATAACTTGTATAGTTCCCCCACTCACAACTCTGTTCATGCGGATTTTGTCATCAGGGCAGTTCTCGTCACTGAGGACGATGCAGACAGTCTGCTTGCGCTTCTTGCCCTTGAGCAGGACTGTGTCGCCACGGAAGAGCTGAAGCTCGTCCATCTTTGCCTGGCCCAGCGCCACCACCGAGTTGTCGTCATTGACGGCATCTTCAACCACTAGCCTGTTGGGCCGCTTCTTGTCCTTAAGGATGGCCGTAGATAAGTCAGCCCTGAAGGATATACAGTGATGAAATTGTGATGACTGACATATGAGGGCAATAATAATAATCAACACATAGATAACAAATTATTTTTTATACAAGTTACAATACATCTAAAAATGGACAAACAAATTGACCTGATCTCTGATCCCAGTATATATTCAAACAGCAGCCTAGTCTGAATGCTATTTTAGCTTCTTTCCTACCATAAATAGCAAACAGATAGGCCTGTTTACTAGTGTTCATTTCATGTTGTCATTTGCTTGTTGCTTCCCTATTAATACCTGACAAGGGATTTCATTTTACTAATTTATTGGATCTGTGTAGGAATTGTGTTATGAACTGACAATGGAACTGGACTCCAA